ACAGTGACATAAGCGACTACAAAATATGTGGCAGCACCTTCAATCATGCCAGATGAAATCGACCGTCGTGCAAGAAACATTAATTTTTATTAATTTGAATAGGCATCCTTACAATAAAATTATGTATGTATATAAAGTCCGTAAAATACACCAATATAAATTTGGTGCTTTTTCAAATTCAAAACTTGGCAATACTGCCTTTTGTTCGATGCTTCCTCTTTTTCTTGTCGAGTTCGTCTTGCTCTCTCATTCTGGTATTTATTGACGTCATGGCCAGTTGCTCTCAGCTTGATTGGCGCAATCTTGTATTCTATCGTTCTTGACTGACATGGATAACTCGATATGAAACTGTTTTTGTCGTGAGAGCGCTGCCAAAGTGTGTATTTTTTATAACTATACCTAGTGATGCCACACCGGCGGAAACCGAAATTGGGTATTTTTAAACTAAACTTGGATATTTCGCAGTTTCCACACCACCATTGAGGTATGTAAATGGCGCGTTACCGAAATTAGTTTTGGGTGCTCGGTTCCCCAGTACTCGACGTTCCCCGACGCATCCTCGAGCACACTTGTTTTTTGCTTTTGTCATTTTCTTGCTGAAAAAACATCATTGCAACATAATTCATTTGCTTAAAATATCACCCTTGCACTAACTTTAATATTTACCTTCTTCTTTTTTACTTGTTCCTCTTATAACATACATTTCCACAAAATACGAAAATCGCGACACTTTTCTATCAATGCAAAAACGAGCTGTCTTCGTCAATTATTTTTGACGTCTTATTTCTGGCAGCGCACTATTTCGCGTGTCAGCTGTTTATCTGCCCAGGGATTGGCAGTGCTGCCAAGTGCGAAAACGAGTGCTTGGGCGCGCTCTCAGAAAAATTGAGACAGTTTCATATCTAGTTATCCATGATACTGAGCTGGATAACCCAAATAAACACAACCATTGACAATTAGTACCAAGGGAATTTGTACAAGGTGGTATCAAGAATGCAACAACAACAACCACATGCATTTTGTATTGTGCGTGTTATGTCAAATCTCAATTCGCCCCAAAGTTGACCTGTATTTTATTTGTGCTTTTGATGGGTGTGCTGTCAAATCAGTAAAAGCAAAAACAAATTACATGTAAGGTGAAGAAATCAGCTGATCTAACAACACCAGCTTGTATAAATTAGCTTGACATCAGCCTGAAATCAGCGGATCCGATAACACAAGACGGCTCTTTGAGTCGCCAAACCGAGTTTGCTAAACAAGGTTGCAAGGCGAATTTATACAAGGTGGTGTTGATGGCGAATTTAGATCTTCGCCGCGGTACCTCTTAATATCAAAATTACATGGTGAAATGAACTGAAGGTGGCGCATTCCCGAAACCGCTACTTTGGTTTTGCCGACTTTGACATTTATGGCAATACGTAAACAAACTTTTTGTTTAGAAACAAGTGCAAACGTATTGTGTACTTTCAAGTGAAAAATCGAAGTAATTCGTGCGTTCTGAAGTAAAAAACGTTTTATTTGTAATAAAAACTTTATAAAAATGTCGTGTCGTGTGTTGAATTGCAGCAGCCGTAGGGGTAAAGCCCCCAAATGCAGTTTTTTTTGTTTCCCCGCGACGACGCCTTGGCCAGAAAGTGGGTAGAGTTCTGCCGGCAGGAGAAGCCATACAATTTAGACACCAGCGTAATATGCATGACGCACCACTTTTAAACACGACATGTTAAGTTGAAAACGTTGAAATACCACAGATTACAAATTAAAATCGGAGGTAAGCAAGCATCGACCACTTTCTGCAGGAAAACATACGCTGCGACAAGATATTATCACTCTTTCGGCACGTGCAATACAAACACAAAAATTCTAAATAGTTAATTAATAAGACCTATTCTTTTGAACACATTTCAATAGTGGTTGTATATTTTTTGTTAACGGTGTTAATTAATTTGCTATATTCAAAGATGGCTTGATAAATTGGTGAA